AACCTCGTGGTGTAGGAACCTCCTGGTGTAGGAACCTCCTGGTGTAGGAACCTCGTGGTGTAGGAACCTCCTGGTGTAGGAACCTCCTGGTGTAGGAACCTGCTGGTGTAGGAACCTCGTGGTGTAGGAACCTCCTGGTGTAGGAACCTCCTGGTGTAGGAACCTCGTGGTGTAGGAACCTCGTGGTGTAGGAACCTCGTGGTGTAGGAACCTCCTGGTGTAGGAACCTCCTGGTGTAGGAACCTCGTGGTGTAGGAACCTCGTGGTGTAGGAACCTCCTGGTGTAGGAACCTCGTGGTGTAGGAACCTCCTGGTGTAGGAACCTCGTGGTGTAGGAACCTCCTGGTGTAGGAACTCCCTGGTGTAGGAACTTCCTGGTGTAGGAACCTCCCGGTGTAGGAACCTCCTGGTGTAGGAACCTCGTGGTGTAGGAACCTCCCGGTGTAGGAACCTCCCGTGTAGGAACCTCCTGGTGTAGGAACCTGCTGGTGTAGGAACACCTCGTGGTGTAGGAACCTCGTGGTGTAGGAACCTCCTGGTGTAGGAACCTCCTGGTGTAGGAACCTGCTGGTGTAGGAACCTCGTGGTGTAGGAACCTCCTGGTGTAGGAACCTCCTGGTGTAGGAACCTCGTGGTGTAGGAACCTCGTGGTGTAGGAACCTCGTGGTGTAGGAACCTCCTGGTGTAGGAACCTCCTGGTGTAGGAACACCTCCTGGTGTAGGAACCTCGTGGTGTAGGAACCTCGTGGTGTAGGAACCTCCTGGTGTAGGAACCTCGTGGTGTAGGAACCTCCTGGTGTAGGAACCTCCTGGTGTAGGAACACCTCCTGGTGTAGGAACCTCGTGGTGTAGGAACCTCCTGGTGTAGGAACCTCCTGGTGTAGGAACCTCGTGGTGTAGGAACCTGCTGGAGTAGGAACCTCGTGGTGTAGGAACCTCCTGGTGTAGGAACCTCGTGGTGTAGGAACCTCCTGGTGTAGGAACCTCCTGGTGTAGGAACCTCGTGGTGTAGGAACCTCCTGGTGTAGGAACCTCCTGGTGTAGGAACACCTCCTGGTGTAGGAACCTCGTGGTGTAGGAACCTCGTGGTGTAGGAACCTCCTGGTGTAGGAACCTCCTGGTGTAGGAACCTCCTGGTGTAGGAACCTGCTGGTGTAGGAACCTCCTGGTGTAGGAACACCTCGTGGTGTAGGAACCTCCTGGTTACTACACCAGCAGCAGCAGCACACAGGGGATTATTGTGTCCGTCCGTCCGTCGTGCATCTGAAAATGTGAGGGGTGGGGCTGGGTGGGGAGGGGAGGGAGGGGCTGGGTCGGGAGGGAGAGGCTGGGTGGGGAGGGGCTGGGTGGGGGGTTGCTGGGTGGGGAGGGAGGGGAGGGGCTGGGTGGGGAGGGGTGGGGCTGGGTGGGGAGGGGCTGGTCACCCCGTGGTGCCCTTATAAAACTCAACGTTTAACCTACTCACGCCGGCTTGTGCCCGCCTTCACAGTCGGGCATATTTGCGGAATACACCACGTGGTGCCGCCGTTGACCCTGGCCATTGACCGAGCAACCCAACGTTCCTACCAGCTCCCTCCGCAGGAGAATGTGTTCCACAAAGGGCGAAATGCCCGCTCGCTTCGTAAGAGATTCTCTCTCTCTCTCTCCTGCATTAAAACAACACCACACGACACGGACACCTCGGAATAACGCTGCCGCTAGGGAGTCCCCTAGGCTAAACCGATTCTAAACCGAAACTCAACCATGTTTTTTTATTTAATATTTTACCAGGTCAAGCCCACTGAGCTACGTAGCTCTTTTTCAGAAGCGACCTGGCCACAAATGGCAGATCCACGAAGTGGCTCGTCGCGTGGACATTTACAGCAGCCAAAGACTCTGAACGCGTGATGTTGATTCTGAATGTGAAGGGAAAAAGCGGAGGATCCGGAGAAAAATCCACGCTACCACGGGGAGAGAGAGAGAGAGAGACACGCAAACTCCAAATATACAGCAGCAGCAGCAGGCATCGTCAGGGTCGGGATCGAACCCACGACCTCTTGTATACCAGGCGAGGTAGTTAACATCTCCTAGCCACCGTGATGATGATGAGAGACACAAAATGCAAATTTACAACAGGCATCGTCAGGGTCGGGATCGAACCCACGACATCCTGCATACCAGGCGAGGTAGTTAACATCTCCTAGCCACCGTGATGATGATGATGGTGAGAGAGACACGCAGACTGCAAATATACAGCAGCAGCAGCAGACATCGTCAGGGTCGGGATCTAACCCACGACCTCCTGTATACCAGGCGAGGCAGTTAACATCTCCTAGCCACCGTGTGCTAAACCCGGGGTGGATTGTGACACCGCCGGATCGTAAGAGAGGTGCGCGTTCGTTCGCCGAACTGATTCTCGCACCGCACGTGACCCACCGCGCTAATCGGAGGCGCGGTTGTCGAGAAATGAGTTTGCGATCTCGCTTTGACGCTGCATAGCTCCCAGGCGCTTCCGACCACAGGTATTCAGATCAGACGTCCAGGAGCGATCTTCCACTCACGTCCACATCCTGCACGTGATCACCTCGTGTCAACAATGCGAGTATCGTCGTAAATACATTCAATTCCTACCTAGGTCTCCTTCCCCCCCCCCCTCTCTCCTGCCCTACCCCCTCCCCCGCCCACATCATGCCATACTTCCCCTAAATCTGCAAGTGCCGGGCCGGGAAGGGAGACGCACGCGGAGCGGCGGCCAAAACCAAACTTATCGGAGTGTGAAATGGATGGAGCATTTAATCCGAGGCGCTGTCCACTCGCATTGTTTACAGACTCGTCCCATCAGCGCGCGCGCCACGGACAAGGAGCGAGCGACAATGTTGTTGGGTAGAGGGGGAGGAGGGTGGGTGGGTGGGTGGGGGGATGAGTGGGGAGGTAGGTGGGTTGATGGTTGGGTGGGGGGATGAGTAGGGAGGTAGGTGGGTGGGGGGATGAGTGGGGAGGTAGGTGGGTGGGTGGTTGCTTGGGGGGATGAGTGGGGAGGTAGGTGGGTGGGTGGTTGGGGGTTGAGTGGGGAGGTAGGTAGGTGGGTGGGGTGGGGGGATGAGTGGGGAGGTAGGTAGGTGGGTGGGTGGTTGGTTGGGGGGGGTGAGTGGGGAGGTAGGTGGGTGGGTGGTTGGTTGGGGGGTGAGTGGGGAGGTAGGTGGGTGGTTGGGTGGGGGGATGAGTGGGGAGGAAGGTAGGTGGGTGGTTGGGTGGGGGGATGAGTGGGGAGGTAGGTGGGTGGTTGGATTGGGGGGGGGGTGAGTGGGAGGTAGGTGGGTGGTTGGTTAGGGGATGAGTGGGGGGTAGGTGGGTGGGTGGGGGGATGAGTGGGTAGGTAGGTGGATTGGTGGTTGGGTGGGGGATGAGTGGGGAGGTAGGTGGGTTGGTGGTTTGGTGGGGGGGTGAGTGGGGAGGTAGGTGGGTGGTTGGGTGGGGGGATGAGTGGGGAGGTAGGTAGGTGGGTGGGTGGTTGGTTGGGGGGATGAGTGGGGAGGTAGGTGGGTGGGTGGTTGGTTGGGGGTTGAGTGGGGAGGTAGGTGGGTGGGTGGTTGGTTGGGGGGATGAGTGGGGAGGTAGGTGGGTGGTTGGGGGGATGAGTGGGGAGGTAGGTGGGTTGGTGGTTGGGTGGGGGGGTGAGTGGGGAGGTAGGTGGGTGGGTGGTTGGATGGGGGGGGTGAGTGGGGAGGTAGGTGGGTGGTTGGGTGGGGGGATGAGTGGGGAGGTAGGTGGGTGGTTGGGTGAGTGGGAGGTAGGTGGGTGGTTGGGTGGGGGGGTGAGTGGGGAGGTAGGTGGGTGGTTGGTTGGGGGGGTGAGTGGGGAGGTAGGTGGGTGGTTGGGGGGGTGAGTGGGGAGGTAGGTGGGGGGATGGCGACGCATGAACGCCATCCTCACCACAATCCTCACCACCCCTCCCTCGAGCTCCATCGCTCCACAACCAACACGAGCGGGAGTCACGGCCATTACTTGGCCGTCAGCGGGCAATCAGAGATCATTATCCACTTTGTTCAATGCCCAATGCCTCCCCCCCACACGTCTCACGCATTACATTGGGGGGGGGGGGCTGTACTGGTGAAATGGGGGGGGGGGGTCGAGGGGGTATGAGGGAGAACGGGGAGACAGGGATAATGTCGAACACGACAGCTTTAGATTTGAGATGTCCACTTCAATTAGGGTCTCTGCGGAGGGGCAGGGCAGGGGGGGGGGGACTTGAAGAGGAGAGGGGGTTAGGATTTGGAGTGGGGTCACGCTTGACTGCTGCTGCTGCTGAGACAATAAATGTCGGAACCGGTCCAGAGTCGTCGATTGTGTTGCGCCGATGATCCAGCGCACTCCATGTTCATCCGATCTCCCGTTCATCCACCCTCCCGTTCATCCACCCTCCCGTTCACCCAGCCACCCGTTCATCCACGCTCCCGTTTGTTCACCCTCCCGTTCATCCGACCTTCAGTTTACCCGCAATCCCGTTGTATCCGACCTCCCGTTAAATTATCTCCTGCCGCGCCACCCCACACCACCACATGGTACCCACACTGTACCCCACCCACGCTGTGCCCCACCCACGCTGTGCCCCACCCACACTGTACCCCACCCACACTGTACCCCACCCACGCTGTGCCCCACCCCACCCACACTGTACCCCACCCACGCTGTGCCCCACCCACACTGTACCCCACCCACGCTGTGCCCCACCCACACTGTACCCCACCTACACTGTGCCCCACCCACACTGTACCCCACCCACGCTGTGCCCCACCCACCCACACTGTACCCCACCCACGCTGTGCCCCACCCACACTGTACCCCACCCACACTGTACCCCACCCACGCTGTGCCCCACCCCACCCACACTGTACCCCACCCACGCTGTGCCCCACCCACACTGTACCCCACCCCACCCACACTGTACCCCACCCACGCTGTGCCCCACCCACGCTGTACCCCACCCACGCTGTACCCCACCCACACTGTACCCTACCCTACCACGTGGTGTCGCTGCGCGTCACTCTCCGCATGGACGCCGGATCGCTGCTGCCTGGTACAGTGCCTATCCACACACAAACACAGAGACAGACAGACCCATCATCACACAGGGGGAGTGTAAATCAGACCAGTACGTGGCTTGTGAGGGTGACCGCGGTGTTGCTGGCTGCTGCTGCTAGCTGCTGCTGCTGCTGTTGTTGTGTCTCAACGTGAGTTGAATCTTTAACGTGCAAGGCCCTGCTTAAGTATACAGTACAGTAACAGCTGACACACACACACGTGTGTGTGTGTATGGGTAGCGGTAGTGGAGTGGTTAGCGCTACGCTGCTGCTACGAACCTGGCGACTCGGGTTCCATCCCCGCTCACGGCCAACACCGGTTGCGATTATCTGAACCGGTCCTGGGCCTCCCCTAGGTCGACTCGGCCTCAAATGAGTCTCTGGTGCGGTGTGCAGTAAGCATCGCCAACTAGGCAGACAAAGGCGGCCGGGCGTGGTGCTGGCCACCCACCCACCCCCACGTGTGCCGTGCCGGCCTTCACAGGTGCTGCTCGCTAACAGCACTCGCCCCAACAGTCTGTCACAGGCTACGCGGGGGATCTGTGTCTTTGTGTGTGTGTATATATACTGGGTATCGCCTAGGTCGGCTCGGCCTTAAAGCTGAATAGGTACCTGGGGAGACAAAGGCGGCCGGGCGTGGAGCTGGCAACACCAGCCCCTCGTGTTGGGGCTTAATAGGTGCCCGCTACAGCCTGTCAGGTTACGTAACTACAGCTGACGAGTTTGTCTCTGTGTCTGTGTGTCTTTTGTGTGTGTGTCTATGTGTGTGTGTGTCTGTGTGTGTGTGTCTATGTGTGTGTGTGTGTCTATGTTTGTGTGTGTCTATGTGTGTGTGTGTCTATGTGTGTGTGTCTGTGTGTGTCTATGTGTGTGTGTGTCTATGTGTGTGTGTGTCTATGTGTGTGTGTCTATGTGTGTGTGTGTCTATGTGTTGGTGGGGAGCGATAGTGTAGCGGTTAGCGCGCTGCGCTATGAACCTGGCGACCCGGGTTCGATTCCCGCTCACGGCCAACACCAGTGACAATTATCTGAACCGGTCCTGGGCCTCCCCTAGGTCGACTCAGCCTCAAATGAGTACCTGGTGCGGTGTGTAAACATTGCCACTAGGGAGACAAAGGCGGTCGGGCGTGGTGCTGGCCACCCACCCCCTCGTGTACCGTTCCGGCCTTCATAGGTGCTCGCTAACAGCACTTGCCCCTACAGTCTGTTAAGGCTATACGGGGGATCTTTGTCTTTGTATGTTATCTATGTGTGTGTGACTTGTCTGTGTGCGCACGACTGCGTTGGCTGGGTCATGTAGCCCGCATGCCACCCCGTGCCCGGTCACCCCGTGGCCCGGCCATCCCGTGGCCCGGCCACCCCGTGCCCCTGTCACCCCGTGCCCAAGCAGTTTCTGTCCGGCCGCATAGAGAGGGCACGACACGGGCTGGAGAGGAGATGGAGTGATGTGGTACAGGAGGACGTGGAGCTGAGTGGACTTGCCGATGACTGGTACCAGCGGTGTCAAGATCGGCCTCTGTGGAGGCAGAGGAGCGACGTCACAACAACGATCGGAGCGCTGGGCGGATAAAATGCACCTAGCCTGGCACAGTAGGGGGGGTACAGCTGGTGGAGCATCTACCGGTCATCTCAGTCAGCCAACCCACGTCACCTGCTGGGTCTGTCCCAAGATCTCCTGCACCTAGCCTGGCACAGGCGGTACAACTGGTGGTGCATCTGCCGGTCGTCTCCGTCAGCCAACCCATGGCACCTGCTGGGTCTGTCCCAAGATCTCCTGCACCTAGCCTGGCACAGTCGGGGTACAGCTGGTGGTGCATCTGCCGGTCGTCTCCGTCAGCCAACCCATGGCACCTGCTGGGTCTGTCCCAAGATCTCCTGCACCTAGCCTACTACCATGGCACCTGCTGGGTCTGTCCCGAGACCCCCTGTCAGCAGCGGCGCCTTCGACACTTCACGTGGTAGCCTCAAGGTGCACCTAGCCTGGCACAGGTGCCGTGGTGACGTCACTTAGTGGGGAATGGCGGGTGTATTGGTGTCTGTGTGTCTTTGTCTGTACCCGTGTTTATGCTTGTCCGTATTTCTTGTCTGTCTGCAATATGTCTGGGTGTGTGTGCGTCTCTGAATACGTCTGTCAGTGCATGTGTCCGCCTGCCACAATGCGTCTGTCCGCGTGTCTTCTTAGCACATGAAGGCCCATAGCCCGAAACGTCGCCTGTTATATATATTTATCTCGCTGTGTTGTAATCGCCCCCAGAGGGCGCTAGAGTCGCATGTAATAGTCAGTTGCAAAGTGAGACCTCATCCCTTACCACGGTTGGGCCTAATATCGGACGTTTCGTCCCACCGTGCGGGGGCCTTCTTCAGGAACTGAACAGACAGCATTCAAGTTGAACTTTTGAGTTGGAACTGAATTCAGTTCAACGCCGGAGTCCGACGTTTTCTGACCCACGTGCCGACGTCGGGCCAACGTTCGTTGGCATATTTGCCGGGCTGCTGCAGCGTCACGGGACACGTGAGGCGACGGTGACGGCATGGGGAGGCCATCGTCGTCCGGCAATGGTGATGCGATGTTGACGATGATAACTTTCCGTTATTTGTTACAATAATGACAGACATGCTTGTGTGCACGGTTGAACTTCTTTCGCGCGCCGTACGTGACCACCGGTGCCGATCGGAGGTGCGGGGGGAAGGACAACGATAAACCATGTCAAGTGAGGTGCACTGGTTTGCCTCGTGCGTGCCGGTATTGCCGCGGTGACGTTCAAGTTGCCAATGAGCCTGGCAATCGCTGGCAAACGATGCGTGCCGCCTCCGGAGATGGTCCTCCGAGAAATCCGTTTCAAACGAACAAGTCGTTTGAATGACCCACGTGTGATTTTATTAATCGATCAGTCTCCGTGTCTTCCCCTTGCAGAGATGACCGGGGTGGAGGAGGAGAGATGGAGGAGACGGGTACCTGCTGGTGGTGACGGCGGCGGCGGCGGCGGCGGTGGTGGTGACGGTGACGATGACGGTGACGACGATGAGGAGTGCCCGGAGTTGGTGGCCACTCTCCTTCCCCACGAGCGCATTCCCATCACCATCATCTCGGGCTACCTGGGTTCGTGCTTTCACAACGACAAAGATCTCCTCTCCACCCCCCCCACCCTGCTGTTTAGCGAGTAGAGCTGTGTAGGCCGGGACAAGGCGAGCGGGCGTGTGAGTTGTGGCCAGAACCATGCACGCCCGGCTGCATTAGTCTCCCCAGCGCCCGATGTTTATAACGCACCGCACCGGGTGCTCGTTTGAGGCTGAGTCGACCTAGGGGAGGCCCAGGACGGGTTCAAATATTCGCCGCTGTTTTGGCCGTGAGCGGGAATCGAACTCGGGTCGCCAGGGACGTGCCGTGACACACTCACCGCTGTGCCACCGCTCTCCATTCACGCGCGCGCACGCAAAAACAACAACCGCCATTCACCACTAAGTGGCGGTGACGTCACCACGACGCTTGTGCCAGGCTATGTGCACCTTGAGGCCACGTGAAGTGTCGAACGCCCGCTGGCAGGAGGTCACGGGGCAGACCCAGGTTCCACGGGTCGACTGACTGAGATGACTGGCTGATGCACCACCTGTGCCCCCTACTGTGCCAAACTGCTGTTCTTTAGCCACCCGCTGCTCCGCTCGTTGTTGTGAGCGTCGCTCCTCCGCCCTTCATTGTTGTTGGAGGGCGACTGCCTCCAACTGCCCAGTAGCATCCTTCATGAGCCTCCTCCACAGAGGCCGATCTTGACACCGCTGGTACCAGTCATCGGCAAGTCCACTCAGCTCCACGTCCTCCTGTACTACATCACTCCATCTCTTCTCTAACCCGTGCCGCGCCCGTTTAGCCCCCTCGATCTGGCCAAACAAAAGCTGTTTCGGCATGCGGTGGCTGGGCATGCGGGCTACATGACCCAGCCAACGCAGCGTTGCCTGCCGGAGGAGCTCACCGATGGACCGTGCCCAGATCTTTCAAGGATTTGCGAGCTCACACAATTCAGCCTGGTTAAACCCAGGATGGATCGTAGGCAGGCCAGCCTAAATGTTTCTAACCGGCGAAGATGTTCCATTAGGGGGTCCACGTTTCGCAAGCGTAGAGAAGGGCGGGAATGACTGTGGCCGAGAAGACCTGAAGCTTAGTGCGGAGCGACAGACCAGGTAGCTTCCGCACAGCGTTACGCAACTGATGAAAAGATATTGCCGCTTGACTGATTCGGAGTGGGACCTCTGCTGTTAAACCTGGAGCCGGTCATAAGCACACTGCCCAGGTATGGGAAACTCTCCACTCTCTCCACAACTGCCCCATCACCGATTGGGAGTTGTGGGGGTGGAGTGTCCGATGGTACAAAATGCCCAGGCAGGTGCTTAGTTTTGGTGGGGCTGATGGTAAGGCTCCATCTCTTCGTAGCACGCTCCAGTCTCAGCAGCAGCGTCTCCAACTCCTCCTCTGAATGAGCAGCTATTACCAAATCATCGGCATACATGACGTGGTTGAGCAATAGGGAGCCATCCCTTGACCGCACCCGGGCATCGATCAGCCTCCCATTATATCTGTACCATATGGAGATTCCCCCGGTACAGCTATTGAAGGCTTCACGAACTACGTGGTCAAAATAGATGTTAAATAATGTGGGAGCCAGAGGACATCCCTGTCGCACCCCCAGGTGTACAGGGAATGGCTCTGACTCCCGGCCACGTAGTTTTACCCGGGCCCGATCGTGAGCAGAGGGTCAGGTACTCCAAAAGCACGAAGAACAACCCAAAGCCCAGGCCTACTGATGGAATCATAGGCCTTGACCAGGTCAATAAAACAGAGATCTAGGTCTTGCTGGAATTCCCTACACCTCTGCTGTAGCAGACGGACAGAAAATATGGCAACTGTGCAGGACCGCCCTTTCCTGAAACCGCATTGGGGCTCCGCAAGCCTCTCCTCAGCGTGCCTGGCAAGGCGATGCTGAATAATCCTTGCCAGGACCTTTCCCGGCACACTGAGGAGTGAGATGCCCCTGTAGTTGTTACAGTCTGTGCGGTCCCCCTTCTTAAAGAGGGGGACCACCAGGGCATCCTTCCAATCCTGCGGAACCCGTCCAGTGGTCCAGACTGTTGTTGTGATGTCATACAGGGCAGTCTGTGCACAAACGCCACCCTCCCTCAGCATTTCGCTTGGGAGATCATCTCTGCCCGCTGCCTTTCCTGGTCTCAGACTCCGGATCGCCTTCAGTACTTCCTCAACAGATGGCACCTCAGCCAGCCACTCACAGGGGGTGACTTCTTCCAATATTTGAGGCACCGCAGCCTCAGCAGGGTCATCCTCACTTTGTGCCACGATGTATTCCTGGCTGTGGGATTTTCCCTCCCCCAGGACCTCAGAAATGCTCAGAAAATCTGCAAACCTGTTCCTGGGGGTCGGAGATTGGATCACCGTTTTTTCCCCTAATGATGGTAATAGGTGTGGCGCTGCAGGTTACTTTTTTGATGGAGTTAAATAGAGATTTGTGATCGCGGGCCACTGAGGCAAACTCCATCTCCTCAGCAACCCGCGACCACCACCCATCCTTGCAGCGCCTCATGGCTCTCCGAACCTCCGAGCGAAGGCTGCGGTAAGCCTCCTCATTCTCTGATGTGGGATTCTGTAGCCGATGACAGTGGGCCTGTCGCTTTTTCTCAACCATCCTGAACACCTCCTCTGTCAGCCAGGGTCTCTGGGGAGGTCTGGACCGCGTACCCAACGCAGCCATTGCAGCTGCATGAGTCACAGTCCTAAACCTCACCCATTTACCCTCGACATCAGGAGGAGTGGGGGACAATGCCAATCTCAGCCGCAAGCGATGATGAAATTCTCGCTTGCAACTTTCATCAGATAACTGAGACCAGGCTACTTTAAGTTGGAATGGGGTCCTGGGTGTACACCCACCACCGGAGTGGAAGAATGGCAGGCGCATCTTACAGATGATTAGTCGATGGTCAGAGGGCAGATCAGCTCCACGGTAGGTCCTGGTGTCAAGGACATGGGCTCGCATCCGCTGGTCCGTCACTATGTAGTCCAGCAGATGTTCTTGCTTGGACCCGGCATGCATCCATGATGTTGTGTGGATGCGCCAATGCCGGAACAGCGTGTTGGTAATTACAAGCCCATGGGCTGCACAAAAATCTAGCAGCCTCCTACCGTTGTTATTGAGCTGATCTGGCCCATGCCCTCCAATCACTCCAGACCAGGTGCCAGCATCATGACGAACTCGGGCATTGAAGTCACCCAACATGATGACTCTATCCCGAGGTGCCACTTTAGCCTGCACCTGTGACAGGAGGTCATAGAAGGCATCTGACTCATCGGCTTTACCTGCATCCCTCCACGGATGTTCGTCTTCAATGGAGGCATAAGTAACCATGACCACCACTCCTCGCCTCCGGTTGACGGGAAGGCGAGCCCAAAGTAGCCTGGGGCTTACAGCTTCCCACACCTCACCGCCACGCTCCCACGCCCCCTTCATTCTTTTGTTTAAAAGAAGAGCCACACCCTGTTGTTTGGCAGTCTGCTCCCCCGAGTAGAGGACTGTCCACCCCTCATGGTGGCAGGAGCCAGAACCGGTCCACCGGACCTCCTGAATGCCACAGAGATCCAGGCGGTACCGGTCCAGCTCCCGACAGAGGAGTGGCAGCCTCTCCTCCGCAGTGAGCGTTTGAACATTTCACGTGGCCATCCGTAGTGGCTTTTTGTTGTTTCTGGAGGAGCCCCGAGGGTAGAGATTCAATCTCCTGGCTCCGCTAATTGGGGTTTGGCCAGGAGACGTCATAGACGCCTGTCCCCCCGGGGCCTCCGGCATAAGCTTATTAGTTACATATTTCAGTTTAACTCGTGGTTTAGTGGTAATTAATTGAAGGTGGAGGGGTTACCAGCCCCTCGCACCCGTCCAGAGCCCCTGTTTAGCCACTGTGGTGGACACAGACGCCATGAGGGGAGGAGCCAATCAGAATTGGCCCTCCCCCCACAGCACTGTCCACGACAGAGTTGCCCCTCCGGCACCGCGAGGAGGTAGGGGGTTCATATTCTTAGCTCTTTCGGTAAAGTCACGTTGAAGGGAAACAATAAAATAATAAACGTCGTGAGAATTTTTTATTGTTTTATATATATTTTATTATTTATTGTTTCCCTTCAACGTGACTTTATCGAAAGAGCTAAGAATATGAATTGCTGCAGTCACGAAAGCTTTAAATCAAAAAGGTAGGGGGTTGTTTTCCCGGACAAACAAACACACACAAAAACACACACACACACAAACACAGACACAAACAAACACACACACAAGCACACACACAAACACACACAAAAGAAGCCTTCATCCAGCAGTGGGTAGATCACGGGCTGGGTGGGCGGTGGCGACGACGACGATGACGACCCGCGGCGGTGTCATTGCAGGAGCCGGGAAGACGACGCTGCTGAACTACATCCTCACGGAGCAGCACAGCAAGCGGGTCGCCGTGATCCTCAACGAGTTCGGGGAGGGTGAGTCTCGGAGAGCGGCGCGTACACTCGCCAAAAGCAAGCCGAGTTCGATTCCCGCTCACGGCCGCCGACGCTGGTGACCAGCGCCGGATTATCCTCGTAGCATAAGTAGCTGCATATATAGTAGCTACACATATGTAGTAGCTACACATATAGTAGCTACTACATATGTAGCTACTATATATGCAGCTACTACATATGTAGTAGTAGCTACTACATATGTAGTAGTAGCTACTACATATGTAGTAGTAGCTACTACATATGTAGTAGTAGCTACTACATATGTAGTAGTAGCTACTACATATGTAGTAGTAGCTACTACATATGTAGTAGTAGCTACTACATATGTAGTAGTAGCTACTACATATGTAGTAGTAGCTACTACATATGCTGCGGGCCCCGCACTTCCAAGAGCCCCGCGCTGAATGCTTTCAAGCAATCAATTCCGGTGCAGTGATTCTGCACTTGCTGTATTACTATAGTACTATACGCCTTCAACTTTTATGAACGACTGGGTGTTTAAGGTTAGCGATTTGTCGTATTGTCTGTGGCTGTATTGCAAATGAAAAAATACAATTTACCGTGCAAGTAAAAAAAAAAACGTGTGTTTTAATATTTATGTTTTTATTTTATTTGCGGCCCATTTCTAACATCATGCTACAGGCCCCTTCACTAGCTTTGTCCGGCACTGCCGGTGACGGCAGTGTCGACCTCCCCGAGGTCGACTCGGCACCGCGATGAGTACCCGGTGCGGTGGTGTAAACGTTGCCACTTTGGGGAGCCAAAGGATGCTGAGCACGGTGCTGGCCACCTACTCCCCCCTCGTGTGCCGTGCCATCCTTCATAGGTGCTACTCGCAAACGGCACTTGCCCTAACAGTTAACAGTCTATTGGAGGCTATACGGCGGGGGGGGGGGGTCTTTGTTGTGGCCTTACAAGTAAATCTATATATATAAAAGGGAAATTTGTGAATATGTGTGTCTGTTCTAAATGTTGAGCATACTTCCCAACATGCAACAAACTTGAAATTTGGCATGTGGGTAGCTTCCAGACTCTACGCAATGCAAAACGTATAAAAATTTACTTTTGTATTTTGGGGGGGGGGGGCGCAATAATTGATATATTGTTTTGCACGACAAGTGAGCGGTGACGTCACATCTATGATGTATGTCTGCTGACGTCACGCACCCCCCCCCCCCCCCCCCCCACCGCGTAGGCCGTGTATTAATCTAAGACAAGAATCCAAGTCTCGGGCGAAGCCGAGTAGTAAGGCTAGTACTGTATATGTGACAGGTGACATTTCGGGTAATGGCCCTTTTTCATGGCAAGCCCCTGGCTTCAGTCTTCCGCGAGGCTTATGGGGTTGGGGTGGGGGGGTGGGGGTGGCACACAAACCCTGAAGCGCATCCGCTGGACAAGCCGCGGGCAGCGCCAGCGGACTCTCGACGACGTGGCAGCGGGGTAGCGTACGAAGCAGCAGGGATGGGGATGTAGCGGGGAAGCAGCAGGAATAAAGCAAACATGTATACGAGATGGAGCAGGAGAAGCAGGGACGAAGCGGCGACGAGCGATGGGAGCGGAGAGGGGAGCAAGACAGGGAGCGAGGAGAGAGCAAGAGAGCGGGGAGAGGGAGCGGGGAGCGGAGCGAGGGAGCGGAGAGAGAGCAAGAGAGCGGGGAGAGGGAGCGAGGGAGCGGAGCGAGGAGAGAGCAAGAGAGCGGGGAAAGGGAGCGAGAGAGAGGAGAGGGAGCGAGGGAGCGGGGAGGGAGCGAGGGAGCGGAGAGAGGAGAGGGAGCGAGAGAGGGGAGAGGGAGCGAGGGAGCGGGGAGGGAGCGAGGGAGCGGAGAGGGAGCGAGGGAGGGGAGAGGGAGCGAGGGAGCGGAGCGGGGAGGGAGCGAAGGAGCGGAGAGAGAGCGAGGAGAGAGCAGGGAGAGGGAGCGAGGGAGAGGGAGCGGAGAGGGAGCGGAGAGGGAGCAAGAGAGGGGAGAGGGAGCGAGGGAGCGGAGAGGGAGCGAGGGGGGAGCGATGGAGATGAAATGACGTGGAGTCCCGCTCGCCACGCCGTGAGGTTGAGCGCTGAGGGCCGCAACAATCAATGGAGTCCTAATCGAGCCGCGGCGCGCGGCCCGGTAATTGATTTAGAGACGAGGAGCCGGAGCTGCTGATGAGGAGGTGGTGGTGGGGGGAGTGTTGATGGGGGGTGTGGGGGGGGGGGGCCGCGTGGCCGCGTTGCTGCGCCGTCTGCCTTAATTACCGATCCTGCCCGGCCGCGGGACGACTGCCATTCCGTGGCATTCAATTAGCAGCGCCTAATCACTCGCCGCCAGTTAACCTTTAGCATGCAGGCGGGCGGGCGGGCGCAGGAGAGAGAGAGAGAGCGGGAGAGAGAGAGAGAGAGCGGGAGAGAGAGAGGGCAGGTGGGTGAGTGAGAATATGGGTGGGTGAGCGGATTTGGTGGGTGGGCGGATGGGTGAGTAGGTTGGTGTGTGAGTGGGTGAGAAGATGGGTGGGCGAGTGGTTGGTTGAAACTGTCGGTGAGTGGGTTGGTGGGTGGGTGGGTGAGTAGATAGATTTGTGGGGTGGGTGAGAAGGTGAGTGACTGAGAGGGTGAGTGACTGAGAGGGTGAGTGAGAAGATGGGTGGGTGAATAGTTGAGAATGTAAGTTTATGGGTCTCTATATGAGCCTATGGATCTCGATACGAGTCTATGGGTCTCTATTCGCATCTATGGGTCTCTATGTGATTCTGTGGGATGCTATGTGAGTCTCTGGATCCTATGCGAGTCTGTGGGTCTCAATGTGAGTCTATGGGTCTCTATGCGAGTCTATAGGTCTCTGTGAGTCTTTGGGGCTCTATGTGAGTCTATGGGACTCTACGTGAGTCTGTGGGTCTCAATGTGAGTCTATGGGTCTTTATGCGAGTCTATGGGTCTGTGTGCGAGTCTATGGGTCTCTATGTGAGTCTATGGGTCTCAATGTGAGTCTATGGGACTCTACGTGAGTCTGTGGGTCTCTGTGTAAGTCTATGGGACTCCACGTGAGTCTGTGGGTCTCAATGCGAGTCTATGGGTCTCTATGTGAGTCTATGGGTCTCAATGTGAGTCTATGGGTCTCTATGCGAGTCTATGGGTCTCTATGTGAGTCTATGGGACTCTACGTGAGTCTTTGGGGCTCTACGTGAGTCTATGGGTCCCAATGTGAGTCTGTGGGTCTCAATGTGAGTCTATGGGACTCTACGTGAGTCTGCGGGTCTCTATGTGCGTCTATGGGCCTCTATGTGAGTCTATGGGCCTATATGTGAGTCTATGGGTCTCTATGCGAGTCTATGGGCCTCTATGTGAGTCTATGGGTCTCAATGTGAGTCTGTGGGTCTCAATGCGAGTCTATGGGCCTCTATGTGAGTCTATGGGTCTCAATGTGAGTCTCTGGCTCTCTATGTGAGTCTATGGGACTCCACGTGAGTCTGTGGGTCTCAATGTGAGTCTATGGGTCTCAATGTGAGTCTGTGGCTCTCTATGTGAGTCTATGGGTCTCAATGTGAGTCTGTGGGTCTCAATGCGAGTCTATGGGCCTCTATGTGAGTCTATGGGTCTCAATGTGAGTCTGTGGGTCTCTATGTGAGTCTATGGGACTCTATGTGAGTCTGTGGGTCTCAAAGTGAGTCTGTGGGACTCTACGTGAGTCTGTGGGTCTCAATGCGAGTCTATGGGCCTCTATGTGAGTCTATGGGACTCTACGTGAGTCTGTGGGTCTCAATGTGAGTCTATGGGCCTCTATGTGAGTCTGTGGGTCTCAATGCGAGTCTATGGGCCTCTATGTGAGTCTATGGGACTCTACGTGAGTCTGTGGGTCTCAATGTGAGTCTATGGGACTCTACGTGAGTCTGTGGGTCTCTATGTGAGTCTATGGGCCTCTATGTGAGTCTGTGGGTCTCAATGCGAGTCTATGGGCCTCTATGTGAGTCTATGGGACTCTACGCGAGTCTATGGGTCTCAATGTGAGTTTATGGGACTCTACGTGAGTCTGTGGGTCTCTATGTGAGTCTATGGGCCTCTATGTGAGTCTGTGGGTCTCAATGCGAGTCTATGGGCCTCTATGTGAGTCTATGGGACTCTACGTGAGTCTGTGGGTCTCAATGTGAGTCTATGGGACTCTACGTGAGTCTGTGGGTCTCTATGTGAGTCTATGGGCCTCTATGTGAGTCTGTGGGTCTCTATGTGAGTCTATGGGCCTCTATGTGAGTCTATGGGACTCTACGTGAGTCTATGGGTCTCTGTGCGAGTCACCGGTGGTGACCGGGCTGAGACGTCCGGTCCCGGCATAACCACAGGCGGCGGTGGCGGCGAAGGCCCGGGACTGGAGTCCAACATCTCGGTGGAGTTGGCTCGGGGCGCCCCCGAACTCGGAGCCACCTCCGGCCGTCGCAAGCGACCGGCAGGGAAATGAATAAAGAAGGGGGAACGGAAATAAATAAATAAATATCCAGCGGGGGACATAAATAAAGAAGGGCTATGGAAGACGAAACTTTTTATTTTACCATGTAAGGCCCACTGAGCTGTGTAGCTGTGTTGTTTTGAGACGCCACCTGCCCATCGCAAATAACAGCGCAGCGAAGCGGATTCTCAGCACGTGGACATTTAGCGCAGCCAAATAACTTACCCGTTGGGTTTTTTCGGTAAAGTCGCGTATGTAGAAATACCATAAAATTATATTAAAATTACCTGAAAATTTAACATAATTTCATGGTGTTTCTACATACGTGACTTTACCGAAAAAAAAACAATGAGTAATTTATGCGGTCACGAAAGCTTTAACTCTTTGTTAGTCAAATAACTCTTGAACGCGTGACGTTCATTCTCAATCTGGAGGGGAAAATCGGAGGTCCCGGAGACAAATGCACACGACCGCTGGGAGCGAGCGAGCGAGAGAGAGAGACACACGAACTCCAAACACGCAGCAGGCGTCAGGGGTCGGGATCGAACCCACGACCTCCTGTATCGCG